GCATTTAACATACACTCACATATATATTTAAAATATACTATATACATTGTTCCTAAGAACTTCTAGAGACACTTTAGGGCTTTTCTTGAATAATGTGATATCATTTATTTAATTGCTGCTTTATATTGGTCAACGTTACTGCATTGCTATAATAACTGTCAGACAGAGTAGGCTACAATTTGGGTAATGAATGGGGAAAAAGCTCACAGCAGTATATTCTGAGGGTAAGTCAGACATATGATGACTCTTTCCTAGAACAAGATCAGATTAGCTGCATGAAGAGCTAGAATATCAGATTTAGGAAAAAAAGTATATGAAATAATTGTTATTATGCATGGTTTGCAAGGCTATCTAACTAATTCTCTCATAAGAAAAATAGCAAAGTGCTTGATGCTTCCTGTGGGTTGAAAGTTTCATTCCTCTGTTACTTGTGCCATAAAGATGCAAGTGTTTTGTTCTGTAAACTGCAAGATCATATAGCATAAAGTTTTCAACTACTGGAATTAAGTTGTTGCTTAAAGTCAAATGAGCATGCCACATCTTGGAGATCCTTTCATCAGAGCAGGTCAGTTAACTTTAATGAAGTCATCTACAATTTGCTTTGATGTAACATCAGAACGCAGCCCAGATGATTCCAAATAATCAGCAAATGAATTTCCACATTGCAGTTTTTCAAGGACATAGGCTTTATGAAGTGTCTAGTTTTCTGGATTCTTTAACTTCTAAAGTGCCTAATTTAACATGCTTTTAATAAGTCCTACTTGCGCTTTTTTTTTTTTTGAGGGAATTGCTGACTTTTCTCTGAAACTGAGCCCCCCCCTTTAAGATGCCGTATATTGGGCAAGTAAAGCAGAGGCATGCAGCATCACTGCTTGCTATTAGTCTCTTTTAAGTCTGAGACTGTATCATGCAGGAAGATTAGGCTACTGTGTTTTTCCTTTTTGGTGGGGAGGGATTTAAAGTCTCAGACATGCAATTTCTGTGATTACTTGAGCAAGGACTAGTTATCAGGCCAGGGATGGCAAAATTAGGCCCTTCTGTTCTAATTTTTCCAAAGGAAGTAACATTAAATACTAAAGCTGGTCAAAGTGCTAAATAGCCTCTCATCCTAAATTGGAACAAAAGGGACAAACGTTACAATTTCCTTCAAAATGAAGATTCCTAAAATATTTTCAGAAATATTTAATATGTATTGAAGTGCTTCACTTAGTAAGGTAAAAGAATTTCTGTTGTTTGAAATCACTAACTGCGACGCAACTCTTAAAGAGTTTTAGTCATGTTTCAACAGAAACTACGATTGTCTCATTCTCCACTTTTCTTGCAGAAAATTGTTTCATTAGAAAATTAAAATAGTCCTCCTTAAATACCCCAAATATCATGATATTTCATTTTTTGCTTACAGCTTCCTCCTTTGCATAACCCAGTTGGAGATACGATTATATCAATTCCTAATTGTGAGCTTCTGTTGTGCTAGTTTCTCCCTGTCCCTGCAGAATGCAGAAGTATAATAACAGCTGCAGGTTGATCGCTTGATGCTAACCCAGTTGCTTTATGATGATTGCTGCAAGCAAGAATAGAAGGTTCTCAGGCATTTTTGAACCAGTTTTAGTGGAAGAAAGATTCATAAGGTACATTTCTGCAGAGAAGTGTGAGCAATAAAGAAGAGTGGTTTGTGATATATGAAATAAACCTGTTCAGTTTTTAGGGGCAAGAATACTGTTTTTCAAGAGATCACGTTGAGCTAATGTTATTCAGAGTAGCAACTCTTAGTGGGTTTGTACATTAATAACAAACTGTAGGCATAATAATATTTGTAATCATTAAGATAGAACCAGTCAGGACTGCATTAGAGAATAACAACCAGTGTCATAAGTCCTGTCCAGACTCAGCATGCTCAGTTATGTCTGTTAGTAAGCAGCAATTCAACACAGTACTATGATTTGAATTTGCCTCTGAGTGAATTACTACCAGTATAAATCAAAAGGAAATTTTGACTCATGAACTAGCTCCTGTTGGGTAGAAGTTTGGACAGCAGAGACAAAACTCTGTTTTTCCGTTTACCTGAAAATGCAGCTAGGCAGAGATTCGTGTGCCTAGCCTAAAACCACAAGAAAGACTCTTACCTCCTCTACTTCTGCACAGAGGAGCAGCGTGGCTGAGACAAGCATGCAAAACCTTTGTAAATGCTTTTGCACATGCCTGAAGACAGTTTCATGAATTCAAGAATAATGAGACATGAATGAAAACTCTGTAGATATTTGAAATAATTATAATAATCTTTGGAAACCTTTAGTTTACTTTTTTGCAATTCTTGCATTAGGTGCAAATTCTCTAGGTTTTAGTGGCTTGTGCTCGTAACTCCTTGTGATTCTTTTTTCTTTTTTTTTTTTTTTTTTTTTGGCAGAAAGATGATGCACAGGAATAGGCTCTCTGCCATGCTGCTGGGGCTCAACTCAGTCCAGCTGAACTGATTTCTTGCATTCTGCTTGTACGGTTTGAGACAGGACATTGAGCATTTTCCTACTTGTCTTCTGGGTTAGTTCCATACTTTACTGAAGGAAACTGCTTTGGGAGAAGAAGACAACATAGGAGTAAGAGTAGTCATTAAACAGTAGAAGGGTTCTGTTTTGCATTACCAGATGTTAGCGGATAAGTCATCAAAAGTGGTCCAAGATCCTAGTTTAGCAGTTTGACTGACTGAAGAAGGGAGCTGTCTACCTTTCCCTTGCCTTGAGCATACCTTTCATTTTTCCTAGCATTTTGTTTCACTTACAACTTTGAAGAAATTCATTATTGATTAAGCATCAGTATCAATTGCAATAGCTCCGTGCTTTGGTCTTTTCTCTCTGTGTCCCAGTAATACAATACACTAGAAAAAGATGCTGTTTTGAAGCTTCATCTTTCTACTTTCCCCTCATGAGTGCGTGGCCTGTAGGGTTTCTGCTCGTGCCTCTCTTCAGTCTCCCTTGCTAGTGAGACCTGGAGTTCACCTCCCACCCCCACACCTATAATGAGACCATGGCTGTCTGAGCCTCTTGTTTTCCCTTCTTTTCAACAACTCACTAGGCTTGAATGCTTGCAGCTGTCTGAATTTTTCAAAAGCTTGGCCATGCCAAGAATGTTTTTCTGTAGGGCATCCTTTTTTTCTTCTTCTGCCCTCTGCCCTCCTACTAAGATTCTTGATTCATTCTGAGACAGTTGAGCATTTCAGTGCATGATGATGAGGAACATGAAGAAGACATCAAAGACACAAACACAAGCAAGGTCTGTCCTGACTTGGGATCGCTGATTGCAGTATGAGGTATGTGTTTTTGTAGGCAATGTCTGAAATTCAGTACCAAAATTCCCAAGTACTGCAGGTACTCAATCCTTTTATGTTCAGACTCTTTGTAGTCTTGCACTTAACCTTAGCACAGGATTTTCTCATAAGCACTACAGTAGAAAATGCTAACTTAGCTCTTTCAGACCACTAATGAACCACTGTCTCTCTGTTCTGTCCTGTAATTAAGCAGAGATGATGATGGAGCTATAACAAGTGAGAACAGTGTTAGCAGTGAGGTGCAAAAAACATTCCTTCATGAGGGACTCAACTGTCCCAGACCTTATTGTGACTTGGAGAAGCCAGTCCCAGCTTTGTACTGCCTTGCGTGTTTGTTACTAGCAAATGTTGACAGTTTCTTTCTGTTTTTAATTGTTTAATTGAAATAATGGCATTTTCCTCTTGAAAAAGTCTTAATTTGAAAAATGTTGAGCAGGTCAAACTCTAATTGTTTTGCTCTGCGTTGTAAATAATTTGGAGGATATTTGCACATTTCTGTATGATATCCCTATCCCCAAGACTATTATAAATAATTTTTTTGCTTATAATGATTTGTTGATAGTGAACCTTTTGGAAAGGAAAGCTTTGACATTAAACACAGAATATTTGAGGACCTTATTTATGAGAATTCAGCACCGAGTTAAATGCCTGTTGCCATGGAAGAGGTTCTTGGCAGTGTGATCATATGGGCATTTTTAATGTCAATTTAGTTTGGTTTTGCATGTATTTTTGAGTTGTCCAGTAATATACCAGTGAATGACACCTATAAATGCGTTGTTGACTGGCTAGTATCTTAGCACTAACCAAGTAGGGCTAATCATTTTAGCTCAAGTGTGTCCAAACTTTCTGATACTATAAACTGTATAGAGCTGAGTATCTTACATAATCTACATATTTTGTTCATCAGAGATCTGAAGGACAGAGGAAATCTGGAGTAATCCCCAGGTGAGAGAGGGTGTCAGCTCCCTAATATTTTTTAGCACATCTTTGTGGGAACAGACTGGGCAAGGTGTGCAGTTGAGTCCAAATGACCCATCTATTGACTCACATGGTGAAATCAGATTTACCCTGTATTGCCTACCCAGCAGCAGCTGGTGACCAGTTGCACAGCTATATTCCCAGCATGGGATCCAAACCTGAACAATTCAGGAGCTGCAGGTGGTCTTAGAACCACAAAGCAAATGTGTCAGCTCCAACACTTATTCCAGAACTGACGTTAATATGGAGTTAAACTGACAGATCTACATATGGTAGAAAGTCAACGTATCTCCCTTTGAAAGAATGGAGCTATAATGGGCTATACTGGGAAAGGGCCTGGCCGCCAATTTTTTTGAGGAAAATTTATCTTAATTATCTTGAGGATAATTAGGCATTTTGGAATGTTTGGAAATAAGATTCCTGTTTCCAGGGATTTATACAGGAAAAAGGAGAAATCATGAAAGCTGCTAATTGATTCTTTATAGTTTGCTCATTAATAATTATGCACTGGTACTACAAGATTTGTTGATACGGACTCTGGTTTGAAAAGCTGAGGATAATTTCCCCAAACCCATGAGGGTTTCAGAGCTGAGTTTCATGGGAATTCAGGTCTTGTTTACCTAAAAATATTCTGTGGTCACAGAAGAGGTTAGATCCATTTCCTTTGTAGTATAATCAGATTTTTTTTGTCTCTTTCATTTAGGTCTGGCAAAGCCTATGGGATTAGTTGAAGGTCCAGGAGGCTTGGGCCAGGGGGGAATGGCTGCTACCCTGAGAGACGATAGCCATGAATCAGAGACTAAGTATGAAGAATATGGTTACAATGCCCAACTCAGTGACAGGATATCACTGGACAGGTCCATCCCTGACTACAGACCAAAAAAGTAAGTTGAAATCCACATTATTATTAAGAGAAAGTGGCTGATTGTTGTTCTGTTGACCCATGGTGGCATTCTCCTCTTCACATCCCTTCCTGGTTAGAGTATGACAGCAGTTACTCATACATATAGTCTTGAGCTGAGTGAAAGTTAAAAAGACCAACTGCCATCTCAAGCATGAAGTGCCATGTTAAATGTGTAGCTAATTCTGTGAGTAATGCATTAATACAAACTACATCAGCGTATTGGTGCTTATTGGGTTTGACTCACTTAGAAAAAGCCAGGAAGCGCTAGCTGAGCCCACTGTCAGGGGTGGGAACCTTAGTCTGTGCTTCTTGTAGCCACGTGCAATGGAACAACAAACACTTTGTAGACACTGGCCACTTAAAAAAACCCCAAAACTATCAAATCAGCTGCCTTTTCTTTAATTGCATTTTATGTTCTTAGGATTGTTTAGTTGGGGTTTACAATGTGCTGAAACGTGAACTAAGTGTAATCCATCAGGGTCCTATAATTGCAATAAGATTTTTTTTTTCCTTTGGAATGTGTGTTTATTTTCATTCTAGTGTTATAGTCTTCACATGCCTGTGCTATGTTTGACATTGCAATTATATGTTTAATATTTGTACTGATTTATTATGTTTCATATTAAATGTCTTTCAAATCTTTCATATTTATGGAGTTATGTATCTTCCAGATGAGACATCTGCACTGTCATCCTATGAATGACAGTCAGTAATGTCTTAATACAGAGGAGATCAGCAGCAATGCCTAGCTACTCTCAGGAGACAGAATTGAAAAGAATACTTAATTAATTTCTAATAATAATCTTCTGTTTTAAAAGACCCACTGGGGCTCCTAGGCAGAACTGAAAGTTAAATAAAAAAGTATCTTATTAAGTGGCAAGAAAAGTTTAGCCAAGCAAAACAGCTGTGCTCTGTGAGTAGATTGCAATTGAATTAGGATTTTAGGCAGTTCAAGCTGCCAAAAACAAAATCCAGCAAAACAGAACTTCAGCTTAACTACAAATTTCATTAGCTGTGTTACATATTAATCTAATCTCAGAAGTATTGACTCAGCATTTGTTTTCTCAGACACTTGCTATACAACAGAAAACCTAGATAAAAGAAGTGGCAAAGAGAAAAAAATTTACTGCTTTGATATCATATTTGATGCAAGCATACTGAGTTGCCCAATGGTCTCATCTCTCCATCTTTCTTGATGTATCATAAAAATCCATCATGGAATTATTCTGGGGAAAAAGTAGTCTGTAGTTCTGCAAATATTTGAATTGTGAATCAGATCTGGTCCAAAGACCCTTAAAATCAGTGTGAAGTTTTTCAAAAGTCAGTGAGGTTTGACCTGGCCTGTTATTAGCTGCTGCGGTCAAGTGGATAATAAATGAGAAAGCTCTACTAGGAAATACAAAAGCAAATGTTGCAGAGCTTGAATCTAGCTCAGCAGCTGTCAGAAGCATGAGAGCATTTGCAATGCAGTGATGTTTCACTTCAGATTATATTCTTCCACAGTTTTACTTGGAAGCTTTGATGAGTCATTCAGATAAGCTTTTTGACATGGTCATTTTGAGTATCTCATAAGGCCATGCTGCATGATTAATTGTCTGAGTTATTGGGAGCACTACCTTCCTTGGGGTGTTTTGACACTTTTGAGGTGGTTCTAGTTAGGTCTAGATGCTGGAATTGGAACACTTGTCTCTAGATACTTATGAGTCACAGGAAAACCCTTCAGATTGAATTTGTTATGAAAAATGAGTGAAAGTTTGGAGAAGGTAGAAGCTCTTAGTATATGAAGAGTTTTATCCACTTGTATGAACTGAGAGCAGCCCTGAGGAGAAGGACTTGGGGGTGTTGGTTGATGAGAAGCTCAACATGACCCATCAATGTGGGCTGGCAGCCTAGAAACTGAACTGTATCCTGGGCTCCATCCAAAGCAGTGTGACCAGCAGATCGAGGGAGAGGATTCTGCCCCTCGGCTCTCCTGTCATGAGCCCCCCCCTGCAGTATTGCCTTCAGCTCTGGGGCCCCCAACACCAGAGGGATATGGACCTGTTGGAGCGAGTCCAGAGGAGGCCACGAAGATGATCCGAGGACTGGAGCACCTCTCCTATGAGGGACAGGATGAGAGAGTTGGGATTGTTCAGCCTGAAGAAGAGAAGGCCCCAGGCAGATCTTAGAGCAGCCTTCCAGTACCTAAAGGGGCCAACAAGAAAGCTGGGGAGGGACTTTTTACAAGGACGTGTAGCGATGGACAAGGGGCAATGGCTTTAAACTGGAAGAGGATAGATTTAGGTTAGATACCAGGAAGAAATTCTTCCCTGTGAGGATGGTAAGTCACTGGCACAGGTTGCCCAGAGAAGCTGTGGATGCCCCATCCCTGGAAGTGTTCAAGGTCCCTTCCAACCAAACCATTTTATGATTCTGTCAAGGGAGCTTTGGCTGCCATTTGATTGCCATTTTCTGTGAGAAATTTCTGCTGTTCTCATGAGCAGCATTTTTTGTCTTTGTCCCCTTGAAATGCACAGCTGCTCACATACAGTCTTTCTTCGGAGCTCTCACTATAGTGCCAAGAGGCAGTTTTCACTCCCTACCTTATCAACCTCTTCTTACGCACCATGTAGTACCACATCTGCTTACCTAACAGGTGATAGTTGTGCATTATAGCCATAAGGCAAAGCTCAGCTTGACTTTCTGTTTGATTTAGACACTCTGCTCTAATTATATATTGGAGAGAACTAAACCTACAGATCTTTGAGATAGGCTTTCGGAAAATCATTCTTGTTTTGTCCAACTTTGTATGCTGACGTACCCAATGGTCTCATCTCTCTGTCTCTTGATAATAGCTCTCATTTCTGAAACCTTCTAGTCTGCTTGTGATTTAAATTCATGTCATTCCCAGAACTTTTCATTTTTAAAAAGGGAGGACTTTTAATTTTTAAATTGAGAAGCAAGATAGAATTAATGTCCAAGGCCATGTAAAAAGTTCCCAGTCTATGAATAAAACCACTTACCTGGATTTGCATTCCCAAAGTATTAAACCATGCTTTCTCCTCATTCTGGCTTCCATTTAAAATGTTGAGATATACATATTTGCACACAGCATTAGGTATTAAAGATATGAACTAGGAGAATTCATACTCAAGTCAGCATTGCATAGACACAGTTTATGTAAGTAAACATGATTTTGCTATGCAAATGTGGGACTTGTAATATTCCAGGCTTAGTCTTCTTTTAAAAGACATTTGATCAGAAATATTTTCTTTTAGTTAATTTTATCTTTGAACTCGCCCCTTATTGTTATCCAGTATCTTATTCTGGTAGAATAAGGCCTTTTGTTCCATCTACAAGCATAGCTTCAGTAAACATTCAGCAATTTAATTGCTTTTCAAGAGATATTCTCATCCCCACACAGCAAATTAAAAAAATACATTACACTAAAGAGGTGTTCAGTCAGACAGCGTGACCATGAAGGCTCCTAAATTGGAATCACCTCCATGTCCTTCCACTGCAGTAAAGCCTGCAAGCCTGGGTGGGTAGTCCTGCTCTTGAGGTGCTTTTCCCATAGACTGACATTGTGTTCTGCTTTCCTACCTGCTACTGCCAGTGCAAATACTCCTTTTAACTCAGAAGCCTTTTCTTTAAGATAGGAATCACTAAGTCAGTACAGGAGACAGCAGCAGAGTTTGTCCACGTTGTGTTTGTGTGCTAAATCAAAGCAATGACAGTAAATAATTTGTGATTGCAATTCACACAGTAATTACAAATTTATAGTTTGATCCTAATGTGCTGTAATAAACGTCTCTGCTTTTTCTTCTCAGTATCAGAGATATATAAATATTATCAATACCTGAAGTTTTTCAAAGGCTATATCACCATGGAAAATATGTTGCAGAGAGCTCAGGATGTTTAATGTCCTGATTTCTCTTCCAAGCAGTAAAGTGTTAGCAGGACTTTGTAGCCCTCACTAACAGACCCTATTTTCTCTGTATAATGGAAGAAAGAGAAGCGTCTCTTGTAAGGAACAGGTTATTTTCCCCTTGGAAACACACAGCTAAGCTAGAGCTTGCTCTGCAATTCTCTGGGAGAAGTGTTATTTAATAGTGCAATATTATTGGATTAATTTCCATTTGTGTTATTCCATATTCACAATGGGTGTTGTGATCACATAAACCCGAGTACTTAGTGGAGATAAATCCCGTGTTGGCCAATGATCCTTATGTATACGCACAGGAAAGCAGGAGCATGTGTATTTGTATCAATCATCTCTACTAATATGTGTAGATTTAGAACAGTTTTGAATCCTACCCCCATGGGAACGCTGTTAAATCTGCTGGGCTGTGTTACATGTATTTCTTAGCATAATGTCAAAGGGCCGAAGTTTGACTGAATAGTCAAAAATAGATCTGGAGCAACTGAGATTTTGATAGACATCCTGCACTTTCAAACAGAAGTGCCCAGAGTCAGCCACCTAAACCCCTGCATAGTCATTAGTCTTCAAATGGCTTAGTTTGTTAGGGGTACTGAGAGTAGAGAAAGAGAACAGGTTTAGCTGGGATATGCTATATTGCTGCAATAGGCTTCAGGAATGGCAGCAGCCATCCATCTGCCCTTTTGGGGGAATAACAGCCTTCACTGCTATCAGCTGTAGCACAAAATATAAGTCTGTGCTCCAGTAACAAAGGGTCAGACTCAATCCTTCCCAATCATGCATGAAGACAGAGGTGCTACAGCCCCATATGACAGTAGCTTTTGACTTTATCAAAGATGAAGAATGCAAAAAAAAGTCAAAACCTTAGGGAATTTCATTCAAAGGTGGGGGAAAGGCCTCCAAACTTACAAAAGCTGTTTGTTTTACACTGTGGCATCCTGGAAAACTGGGAAGTCTCAGTTAACCAGATGTTTTCAAATGTAATCGTTGTCTCTCGGTAACATAAATTCCGCTGTTCTTTCCGGTGCACATGCAGGATTGCAAGGGGTTGAATTAAACAG